CCAACCATCAGCGGCACTACAGGACAGAGTAGACCTGTCTCTGTGGGTTTGAGAGACTGTAACTCTTTATGGGAATACAAAGTGTCATCTTTCTCCCACCACTTAACTAGACACTATCAATATTTCACCTTGCCATGGAGTCAATTCCAACTTACATCAACCCGCTAGAACAGGGCAGAACCGTCCCCGGGTCTCCGAGAGTGTAACTGTTACAGGAGTAAAAAGCCTAGGCTTTCTCCCAGGGAGTCGCTGAGGCTGGCGCTCATCACTTGCTTAGGATTATGCACTAGGTAAAGCAAAACAGTCAAATATCTAAAGCTATTTAATTTTTGAAGATGTGATTCAAAAGATTTTGCCATCAGTGTGGGTCATTTTCAGGAAAAGGGTTCATAAGAAGGAACCCAGAGATGGAGTGAGTAAATGACTTCAGAGAGCCAGAAAGTAAAAAGCCCAGAGGGGCCCTTCCACCACCACCCTTCTCAACAACAGCCCCCCCAAACCCACACACACTTCAGTTCCTTGGCCTCACACTAGCCTGAGAAAATACTGATGTTTCTTTACCCGCTACCCCAAACCTTAAAAATTACAGGTGTATTTTCAACAGACAGTAGGATAAACAAAATAGCTAGAGTAGGATATAATAATCCCCCCCCCATACACACAATTATATGTGAATTATAAGACCTCATCGGACTGTAGGCATATATAACTCCACAGAAATGTGTCATAATCCGGTGAATATTCACTTCAGAAGCTTTGAGTAGAGGCAAGATTTGGATGGAGCATACTGGAGCTCCGCTTCCACACAGCCGTAACCAGATAGGAACATGACTCTCCCAATAGAGTTGGTTTTGAAACTCTCCCTCCCCTGTACTGCAGAGAGGTCTGCTAGTCAGGAAAGGGAGCTGACTATCAAGATTATTGGTTCCCTCTTTTCTTTATCATAGATGAGTAAAGTTTGCAGATATGCACAAAATGCTAGCTGTTCATTTTATGTGAGATTATTTTTTATTTTTCATTATGATTATTGTTGGATGCCATCAAATTAGTTCCTGCTTATAGGGACCTGCTGGGCAGCAGAACACACTGCTGCCTGATCCTACGCCAGTCTCACAATCATTGCTGTGTTTGAGCCTGTGGTTTTATAATAGTGAGTCATTTTGGATATAGACACTGATACACTCTTAGTTTCCCTTATCTATAATTTTTGAAATATGTCTCGAAATTGTCCTCTTGCAATATTTTTCCTTTCAAATATAATTCAGGGTATTTTATATTATCACTGCTAAAAGTTCTTGGTCATGACTGCTCCAGTAAACCACACTGATATAAAGTTCATTGTAACAAAGTCCACATATTAGAAAAAGTGTAAAGCGAAGTCAGACATTCTAAAATTGTTCACTTCAAAAGTAATTTGCCCTTTGAACCAAGATGTTTTAAAATAAAATGTATACTACAAATGATTGGGCTATTCTTATCTAATTTTATTCTTACCAATTAACCTTTCCAATTGTGATTTGGTTGATATTTAGAAGCAAAGAGACTTAGATGGAAATTATTAGACAATCACAATCACAGAATCAAAGGCATCTGATCCCATAGCCCTTAATTTTTTTTAACTCCAGTGGTTTGGACGTAGGCCAAACATTTGTTAGATTGTCATCTTAGAAAACCTTTTTACGGTTCACCTTACTTTCCAGTAAATGACACCTGCCATTTGATTACAATCTCTAATTTTGACTCACGATGACGCAGGAGGAGTAACCAATGCAGAAGCCACATGGTTTTACCTTGTTTCTCGCACTCTTGGTTATTACGGCCACTAAGGAACTGAGCAGAGACAATGTGCCGAGACTTTGCTCTTTTGCAATTTCCCTGTTTCAGAACATGTCTTGTGCAACAGGTGGCCCTAGTGGTTTAATCACGATGGGTATGTTCAATACCGATCCTGTGTTCTGTCTATTCAGTCTCCCTATGACTTTCACACTTTGTCTCTGCTGATACACTTAGTAAACACCTTGCAGATTCGTATTCCAAAAGTAGGAGATAACGCATAATAAATTATCCACATTGTAATGTGAAGCTATTTGAGTGTCAAGGGGTTTAACATGATTAGATTCTAATAGGGCATCTGAGGTCATAGTAGTCTCAAGCTCCAAAATCCATCGTTCTTGAATATGAGAGAATGGAAAATTACTTCTTCTGGTTTTAATTTCGAAGGAAAATATTATAGTTTTATTTACACTCTTAGTTTTTTTATAGTGTTAAATGTGGTAATATGTTTAGAGATCATGCCTACTGCTGTTTCAATGCATATAGATTCATAAGTTGATAGTTTTTTCAAACTATCATGTTAGCATGATAACACTTTGAGAAATTGTACCTAATCTAACTATAGTCACTATAAGGATAGATAGACTCTGTTATTGGACACGTAGCCAGGAGACCCCAGTTGTTGAAAAAGGACATCATGCTTGGTCAAGTGGGGGCAGTGAAAAAGAGGAAAACCCTCAGTGAGTGGGATTGACATGGTAGCTGCTTAAACCTAAGGACCACCGTGAGGATGGTGCGGGACCAATCAGTGGTTCCTCTGTTGTGCATGTGCATTAGAAAGGAGCCATGGCACTTGACAACATTGTTCAGTTATGACTATAACAACATGAACTAGAACAAAGGCCAATCAGAACGTTTTGACGTTTCATAGGGATTTTTTATAGATAACCATGTTTTGACATACAGCAAGACTTAGCTGACAAGTCCTATAATGTTGTTGGAAGCACTTTTGCTGACATTTCCTTGTCATTCTTACTCCCTACCCCATCCCAAATCAGTATGATCTAGCAAGGGAGAGAATTATTATTTCCATCTTATTTTCTGAATTCCTTAACTGAATTAAGTCTCTTTTCAGCAATGAAGTAAAGAGGTCCAGGCAGATGGAGATTTTAACATGGTTACGAGATGCATATTTTCATATCATTCAACTTTGGAAGAAATGAAATAAATGGTTTGCTTCAGTCACTGTTCTTGTCTTACCTCAACTAGACAGTTTTAAAGAAGACATACTTCCAGGGAATTACCCACCCTCAGACTCCTCAGCTTTTCCAGTGTTATCATCCAGGTTAGCATTTTGAAAATGAAAGTCCAATAATTTTTGAAACTGTAATTCTGCTTTCGCGACTCAGCGAGGACAGGGCATTAATCATACTCTTGAAAGTGTACTCCTTCAGTTTGATGATGCATTTTAAGTCCCCCAAATGCTTCATTTGCTGACACATTTCTGATGGTCTAACACACAAGGGCCATGGCGCTGCTGTGAATTATACATTGGGTGCTTAACTGTACGGTGGGAGGTCAAGCCCCAGACACTCTTCAGGGGAAAGTCGAGGCTGTCTCTCCTCCCATGAAGATTTACAGTCTCACAAACCCTGTATCTATAGGGTCACTCTGTGTCCAAATCAACTCGAAGGTAGAGGGTTTGTTTTGACTTTAGTCAAGCACTATATTTAGACACGCACTATATTAATTGCTAAAAAAGTTAGGGAAGCACTGGGACTGGCCAGAGAGGAGGAGTTCAGAGGTAGAGTCTGTTCCTTGGTCTCTGATACAAGCTGCTTAGTAGGAATAGGACACCACTGTTTTTCAACCCAGGGATTTTTATCTACTTTAACAAAACTGTTTTAAGGGAAGAAGAAAACTTCAGCTGTTGTGAGAGTCTCTGGTTGGTAAATCCCCAATAAACTGGAAAGTTAAATTCCAGTGTCTTTACTTTCTGAATGTGTTTGTTTGATTGTACTGACAGTAGGAAAAAATGAAAATGTTTCATTTGATAAGGGAAGTCTCTAAGCCACAGTGTCTTTCTAAACAGCAACTGTAGATATTTTCTTGGAGGGTAGCAAGTTGATTCGTTGGATGATCATTGGGGCAGGCATTATTAGTAGATGACATTTTAGATTGTAGCAGGAATGGAGCTGGTTAATTGAGGATTCTGTTTAATTGAGGTCCTTTAATGGATGGGTTTTATGCATTTATTTGGTGTGGCATTCTGGACATCATGCTTGACAAAGTGGAGGGGCAGTGACAAGGAGGAAGACCCGAACGTGTGTGTTTGACCCATGATGGGCTGCAACATGGCAATGATTGTGAGGATGGCGGAGGGCCAGGTGGTATTTCTTTCTGTTGTACATGGGTCGCTATGGGTCAGAACTGACTCGATGGCACCTAATGGCACCAGCTATAGGGCATTCTGTTGTGAACTCTGAATCCTACATTTGAGCCCAGGGTTGCAACCACTGTGTCGATTCTCTTTGTGCCGTCCTTCTCCAGGTATCGGTGTCTCCTGATAGCCAAGCACGTGAGACAAAGTCTTAGAGCCCTCGCTTCCAATGGCCCTTCTGCTTCTACTCTTCCCAGTCAGCCAGTTCATTTTCTGGCAGTCCAATATCGATATATTCAATATTGTTTGTCTGGTGATATTGTCTAAGTCTATCTTATTTCAGCTTCTAACAGAATTATTGACAAATATAAATTGATTCCGCTATTAATATTTTTGTTTTGTTTTTAGTACTAAAAGCCCACCTCTCTGTTGTTCTCTCATTTGTTGGCTCAGGTGCTTATTTCCTTTTAATTTATAGAATGCATTGCTCTTTATTCTTCTAGAAACTGAAAAGCTTAGTTTTACTTTGAAATTGTGATGATTTTCAGGATAACGGTAGGCATGTTGAAGTGTGTAATTTGACAGCACCCCTCCCACAATATAGCAGAGCCAGGACACCAAACAGTTACCAAATAGTTACAATAAGGGGAAAAAACGCAGGGAGAAGAAGATGAAGAAAAAAACCCCTAGATGTTGAAGTCACATCCTGCCCAAAGGAGGAAGTGGCAGGTCACTGGGTTGACACTTATCTGATGCTGTACATCACCGAGAGCAAACTGCTAACAGTTTTCAGTTGTTTCTGTAACAACAGGGAGTGTACTCACTGGGGGAACAGGCAACATTCAAAATGTTGAAAAGAAAACCATCCAATGTTTCAGAGAAGGAGAAACATCAAAAACCAAAGGTAAGATGGATTTATATGTAGACAAACAAAACAAAACCATTTAATACATGTGTGTGACTATATATACATAGATGTATTTATACATTTTGTTTTATATAAGAAAAAATGGGTATTCCATATCAGTTATTCATGCTAACGATAAGAAAAACAGCAATAAAAATATCTGCAAAGGTAGATGTTATCATCTGCATCTGTTACTGAGGTTTGACTTCAGATCATCAACTTCACAGGAATCAGGTTGGTGGTCTCTGTTGACAACGCCAAATATTCAAGTTAATATTCTGGAACTTTCTTGTACTGTTTAGAGACTATACAGCTGTTACTGTCTATTTAAATCTACAGTACCCTGAATGCATTTTTCTCTCAATAATGTATTAGTATGAGGATATTATGAAACAATGATATTTCAGTGAACTCTGATGTTTTTTATTTTTAAAGTAAAATATTATAGCTTGTTTCAGAGATGCATTTTTCTTACTCTCACTCTTGAACTAATGACATTTTGAGAGAAGGTTGAGTTGTGTTTTGGGAAGCTTCCAAATCCCAGAAGTTCATCATAGTTTTGCTCAATTGGTTCTATTTGCAATGTTCTTGTATTTTTCATAACATCACTAATTGCCACGCTAAGAAAAAATAGAGCATGGACAACACAGTTTAGATTTGACAAGAGGACATTAACTTTTATTTATTAATGGACTAAAAGATACATTTGGTGAAATACTGGAGTAAGAAAATGTTTCCACTAATTGTATATTTCATAGTTTCTTAGATAAATAACATTTGCAATCTATTGCAGGGTTTCTATTTCTGAATAGATAATAGCTGAGTCTAGATATCTTTTTAAAGGATTGATTTAATATCTAGTACTATTCTTTATTTGCTTGGTTCCTGTTCTGAGAGAAATATTTGAGAATTGATTGTGAACTTTCTATATCATATGGTATTGAATGGTGATCAATATTTTTCAGATCTTTGGATGTAAGTTACTTTGTGACTTCCTTGAAGGAAACTAAGGATAGCAGATTTCCTTTATTAATTATTTGTGGCACACACAAAAATACATGATAACTATTAACACTTCTTAAGTTAAAATGTAGCTTGTCAGCACACTGACACCAATATCCTGATTTCTGTTCTTTTGGTAATATAGTGATAACACAAGAAAAATGTTTCTGAAAAACCAAAAACATTTTAAAAGTCACATAAGTTTTTATTTAGCTTTAATTCTTCCTCCCAATTTACCGGATTAAATACAACAAACATTTATTGAAACTAGATGTGTTAAAATGAAGTAGTGAATTTCCTTAGTATTTAAAATGCAGATTTAAGGGTGACCCATAAAAACTGTATTATGTAGTAAATTACTATTGTATTTAGCACTGAACTATTTCAAACTGATATGTTAGTCTGTTATCCTCATTTTGTTTAATAGCAGAAACTATTGTAAAATAAATAAAATTTTGTTCATTTTATAAACCTACATTTTCACTAAATTAACAATTTATTTCATAACATGTACACCTGGGATATATCATGGAAATAATTATATTGATTATGTTGTAAATAAATAAATTTGGTTGTGAATGAATTTCCATCTTCTTCCAGTGAATGGTTTCATTCTATATGAAGGTCAAGGGATATGTAAATGTATATGTGCAATTAATACTTTCATCTATTCAGATTAGTTGTATCTTTTCCTTTTTACATTATACTGATACTTCTTTAATCAGTAAGATACTGTCTTAGGAAACCTCCTCGTTAACACACACTTACCTGACTGGGCAATTTTCTAACACAGAAAAAAGTCTCAAGGTATTTCACATATTTTATGGCAAAAACAATGGGACTCCACAAGGATCCAAAGCTAGATGCTATGGCTTGTCTCACAGACAGAACACGACTGGAGTGAGGATTATGATCCTCGTGGCTCAGCAGGTTGAGTGTTGGACTGTCTCCAGCGAGCCTCTGATTGGATCACATAGATCAGTACGATTCATACGGGGTTCCATTAGGGTACACAGGTTTCTTGGCTTGTTTTTCCTAAAATGCTTCACTTTAATTTGTTTCTTTTTAATTCCTATAATTTATTTCACAAATGTATTCATACCTTTATTATTTCTTTGTTTACTACATACCAATTGCCATATCAAGAGTTTTCTGTACAGTAATTCATATTATAAAAACTCTGTGAGAAAAGTATTTTTATTTAGCTTCACTTTACAAATAAAAAAGTTAAGAACATAAATTGACTTGAGTAAAGTCACACGAAAGATTTTTGAAGAGAACTGCACATGTCAGTTTCCACTGCCCATTTTTGAATTATTACACAGTTATTACAAGATATAGAACTGTGAGACATTATTTCTATTTGCATTTTAAGTCACAGCTAATTTTTATGAGGACCAGGGAAGCCATACACTTTAGAACAAAAGGACTGTACCCTTCTGTACATTGGCAAGGCATTTAGAGTTCCTTATTTTCCTGTTTCTTACTAATTGCAGAAATCCCATCTACAGAATTGATCTGTGTCCACTCATTTCCAAACTTAAAATTTTAAAACAAGAACAAAACCAAGCAAGGTATTCTTAATAGCCCCGTGTTCAAGTTATCTCCCTCCTGCACCTTGTCTGAAACACTCAGGGTAGCACAACACTGGGTGCAGGTAGGAATTACTCAGTAAGCAAGGCCAGTGCGTGCTTTGAGCATCAGCAGCACAGGAACACCAGCAATCCAAAGCAAAGACCATAGATGCGAAGCAGACAAGGAAAAGCCAACACCATGCTGAACAGGAACTAGCAGAGCACTGACTGCAATTGTCACTGCTCCTGTACGTGAGCGTGTGCTGCATGGAAATACAGTTCTTTAAGCCTCCCAAGGAAGCCCCCCCCCCCCCGAAAGCTGTGTAAGCTCTGAACCCCCCAGTATACCACCACCTTCTTTGGCATTTGTTTCCTACATTCCCTGCTGTGTAATTAAAAGTCCTTTCCTTTGCAGGTCTCTTGGGAATATGATACTTCTTTCTCATAAACATGAGGTGAGAGTCGGAGATTGAGTCTAACTCATGCTATAGTCACCTAATATACCACTGGACCCAGTATAAATGATTAATGGGAAAGGGACGATTGTTATAGTGGCATTAAAAAAGAAGCCATCGATAGCTAAGAAAAACAAGCACACACATATGTATCCCTATAAACTCACATAACTCATTTGAGTGCATGAGCAAATGGAAGAAAGGATATCACAGATTTTCAGCATTGAGGGCCTTCAAATGCCTTACCCTCACCCTCTCCAGGTGGCACGCCTGGTTATGTGCTGGACCACTAGCTGAAAGGTTGGCAATTAAACCTATACACTGGTTCCTTGGAAGACCAGCCTGGCATTCTGTTTTTGAAAGTGCTATTGAATAGTTCTGCTCTTCACATGTGGGGCCACCATGAGTCCAAATCAACTAGAGGGAACCTTTAAAAACAAAAAACAAAATGCCCTTTATATGTACTTATAAAGTGAATGGGGTTTCTTGATTTTACTGTCTGATTCAACTATAAAGACTCAAGACAACCCAATCTGTTGCCAAAGAGTTAATTATGATTCCTAGGATACTCATAGGATCGGGTAGAACTGCCCCACAGGGTTTCCAACATAGAAAGTGGTTGATGGTCATATCTTTCTCCCGTGGAGCAACTTGTGACTTCAAACCATGGAGACTTTAGTTAGCAGCGGATCACTTAGCCATGGCATCACCAGGACCCCTCAAACATGCACTAGCACTACATAATTTCATTATTCTTATAAAAAAGTCTTTAGTGTGTATGTAAGAGAGATTTTATTTTGTTCACGTGTCTGTGTATATATGCAACTGGAATTAGTTTTTAAAGCTTGTGTTAGTCCAGGTTGACTAGAGAAACAAATCCAGAGACACTCATATATGTGTAAGAGACAGTTTTATAAAAAAGAGCAATTTTATATTGAGAAAACATCCCAGCCCAGTTCAGTCAATCCATAAGTCCGTAAGTCCAATATCAGCACGTGTCCAATACTAGCCCATAAATTTCTTCTTAGACTCAAGCAGCACAAACAATGATGCAGAAGGCAGGAAGATCACAGGCCGGTTGGTGAAAAGTCCTGTGGATCCAATGGCAGTAGAAGCATCTTCAGGGCTCTGGCTGCCATGAGCATGGCTTCAGGTGTCTTGTCAACCGGAATGTGAAGCAGAGAGAGAGAGTTGTCTGCCTCTTCTGATGGCAGAATCAAGAGAGAGGAAGTTCCCAGAATCCTCATGAGAAGGCCACACCCACAAGCAGGGAATATCAGGCTCTGATCTGATTGACAGGCTAGACTCCACTCCTTCATTTTTTTATCCACTTGATTTACCAGAATATAGAGGTCCATTGTATGTAACAGTTTTAGGACCTAGGATAAAAATGTAAATGTACATTTCAGGACCAAAACTTGGCTACTGTAATTAGAGAAACTTGGCCTTTACTTGACTTGGATTAATGAACTGTGTTAGTAAATTTCAACTGAGGTTTTTCTTTGAATAAAGGAAATGCAAACCCCACTGTTATTTTAAAGGGAAACATTGAAATAATGGCAGTTCTGGAAATAGACATCTTTTTTTCCTCCCAAAACCATTTAACGAAAAATCTAAAGTGCATACTAAATGAGACACCATTAATGTCACAGATGCTAATTTTCACTAGCAATGACTGAAGTGGAATTGTTTCCCATTTGCATTTGATCCCAGCAATGATGAGAGGTGATGAGTTGCTGATGAGCTGTTTTCACTGCACTGCCCGCTGTGCAAATTTATGCTCTTAGATAAGGATGACACATAGTTGTGGCATTAAAGTGTGTTCTTCATTGCTTTTTGAAACAAGAAGGATGCATTTTAATGCTTATCTAACCAAGTATAATAAAAGGGAAAAGGAGTGTACATGTCCTGATGCTTATTCTAGGCCAGAAACTTTAACAAGATGCTAATATTCACGGTTTTATTT